CCAAAATAGTAACAAGTAAAAGCCTTTACTGCAAAGGATCCTGATCTTTCTATCCTCTTTAGACTCATTGTATCCTGCTAAGAAGCTTAATTAACACGCTGCTTGACAGGCCTTGTCAGGCTGTAACATGGACTCTACACCATTTAATACAGGGGCTGTCATCTTCCCTAGCAAAACTGGGCAAAATATAAATGAAAAATTAATAACATGAAAAATGGAAAAATATAAAATTAATAAAACACAAGATACTTTGTGGACACAGAGAGTCAGAGGGGGAATTCTTTGTTAAATGGAAACCAGAGTCTTAAAAACATGGATAAGAGCAGACCTGGGTCAGAACAGCATTGGCAATGGACTGTTCTCAGGAACCAAAAGCAGCCTGGGTGTTTGAAAAGCAGCTGAGGCTCCTGCTTCTGTGCTGGAATACAAATGGACATGGATCAGAGCTGGTGCAAAAGGTGGTTTAGCACCGTGCGTGCTGTCCCCAGACCAGTGTGATAGACTGGGAGAGGTGAGCAGCAGCAGAGAGCATTTCATTATCTTGTGTCCACCTCCCATGACCACAGGATTGAAAAACAGCAGAAGGGGAGAATGTTAAAGCCTATAAATTGGCTTCCTAATAGGTGACAGAAAGAGGTATCAGGTGGCTTTGATCAGAGGATGGATCCTGCATGGCTTCTGGTCTTGTCAGCAGCAGGCATTGCAGTGTTTCTGGCGCTGACTGCCTTCAGCTGTGCTTGCCCTCGCCGTGCCATCGCTTCAGAGGTGGTGCTGGGAAAGGAACGATCGGTTTTGCACACACCCATGTCACTGCTGTGGAGAAGAACTCATCTGTTTGTCTCTAAATGCAGCGGCTCTGGAAGGATAAGATGGGTTAACACATTTGCTGGCAAGAGCAGCTGTGAAAGCTCCAGTGAACTTTATTGATATTTCCAAATTAAAGCTCTTGGCACTAACTCCTCCCTGAGTAGCACCAGCAGCCTGATGAGACGTAGTTCTCCATCGGGGCAGTGGCTGGGCTGTGCTCTGCTGAGTTTCACCAAGGTGCTGCTGAGCAGCACTGATGCTCCAGCCCCCTTTCCAGCATCCTCCCTGTGCTCGCCAGCACCCCTCAGCCCAACACAAAGGGCACATCCCGCTCCAACGGGGCAAGAGCAACCGTGCCACTCCAACGCAGGGTTTCTCCGGTCACTGTGGCCTTTCTGTGTCAGGAGAATCTCAAACTGGCACTGTGGTTTTTCATCAAGTGCCTTGCAGGTAAGGAGAGGAAGAAAGGCACGTAAGCCTTCCTGCATAACAGAAAATTACCATCCAACAGAATTTCTATTGAAGCTTGGAAGAACATCAATGAAATAGAGATCTACCCAAAGCTGGCATGTTTGTATAACTGCTATACTCAGTCTTCATTATAAAATGGAAAAAAACACCCTTTTTTACTGCTATTTCTAGGCTGTGGTTCTACTGAAACAGAAGCTTTCTCTTCCCATCTCCATCTCTGACCTTTCGGGGAGCACTGCTGTACATTCATTCAGCAGCAAGCGACAGACCGCTTAGGCAGAGATACTCAAACAACAGTACACCTGTCCAAAAAGGATTTTGAAAATTAATTTTTAATATGTGGCCTCTGCCCGGATTTCTCTGTGCTAGTCTGAACCCACAGGTATAAATAGCTCTGCTGACCTGAATGGGTATTTTTGGGTATAGCCACAAAAAAGAATCATTGCCTGATAGTTGAGGTAAATGTTTATCTAGGCATGATTTAGTGTCCGCAGCTTTCTTTCCTTAGAATTTGCACTAATAACTGTTTTTTGAAACAGACTTTGTCAGAAGTAATTCAATAATTGGTTCATTTTGGCTGTTTTGGATTTCTGCTCCTCTGCATCTGAACCTGCCCTGCATGGCAGGCTGCCACCATCTCCATGGCTGGTCAAACGAGAGGTGACATTTCTGTGCATGCCCAAACAAGGACCAAAGTCTACGGCAACCTCTGGATGCCTCCATTAAAAAAGGACTGTGAAAACTGCTTAAGGCAGCTGGGTGAGGTTGCTAAAACCTCGCACTGGACATGCACACACAGAGCCTGTCCTTGAGCTGCTTGGGGCCAAACACCGCTGATTTGCAAGTGGAAAAGGTACAGGAACCCCAGAATCTTTTTGCTCTAACTAAATGCCAACAGCAGAGCCAAATCAGGATTTCATAATGTGTGGATTGCCCTGGGAGCCATCTCAGTGGAGTTTAAACACACAGGCCTCTCCCTGGCAAGAGTCTATAGACTTGAGCCTCTTGGACTTTTCTGCCCTGCAAGGTTACCACGTTTCCTGGCAATAATTAAGTCATTGCAATAGCCTGGTTTCCTGAAAGTGCAGGTCTACAGGCTGAAAAATAATTAATCCATAAATGGAATGTACATGATAAACACTAGAAAAAGACTCTCTAGTTTGCTCTTAACACCGATCTTGTGCTCCAAGCTTTCATTGCTTTTTCTTCCTTTGGTGTCTGTAGCTCCCCAATTGCTGTTAAAGTCTGTATTCAACTCAAGTAGGAAGATGAAAACAGCAGTAAATTTTACAATATGTTTACATTATAACAAGGTTTATAGAGGCATCGTAATTCATCATGTATTCCAACAGAAGTATGGATCTCTTCCAGTTTAATTTTCTGAAGTTTGAGTCTGCAGCTGGGTCGCTCCTGGTGTAATCTGGGAGATGCATCTCCTAAGGCTGTGGGTCGGAAGGCTGTCACTGCCACCCCTCAGTTACCGCGCCGGGGGCTGAGGGCAGAGCATCCGAATCCCTTTCTGTGGGTGCAGCAGCGTAGCTAGCTTCATAAATTTGGTTGCAAGGAGCAATAATCAATATTTCATGGTTAATGACGCAAAACTGAAATTAGTATAGATTTTATGTCTCCTCCTCTTCCCAATTATGCAAACATTACTATGCCCCTTCTGTAGCTGCCTTGTATTACGGCTTTTATAAAGGCTGTCCGGTGATGTTTAATTGAAAGACTGAATAGTCAAAAATGTCACAACCAATTTTGGTTTGTACTTTTTTTTTTTGTTCAGTCTTCACCCTGAGGTTAATAGAAAATGATGTCAAACACAAGAAATGATTTATGTAAGTCATGCAGGTTTGTCACCCAGAGCTATATATAAAGTCAATTGCAAATTGTTTTCCCATTCTAAATTACTGTACATTGCTCTGGGATACGCTGAAAAAAAATGACCAGCGGAATAATATGGGAGAAGAAAAGGTTATCTTCTGAACTGTGCTTCAAAGAAAACAATTTTGAAAGTTGATTGTTTTTAATATGCCAGAAGAGGATGTTCCTCAGAGCAGACAAAAAAAAAAACAAAACCCCAAACCAAAAAAAAAACCAAAAACCAAAACCCCAAAAAACCCAAACCCATAAAGCAAAATAAATAAAAAGAAGTTTCACAATCACAACTGGATTATTTCCAGTGGATGATGAGGCAGCAGCCAGGCCTCCCAAATCGTGCATGGTGCTTTATCAGCTGCAGTGTGTCCACAGAATGGTGCTGCAATTAGAGACCCAGAGGGGCAAAGACGGGAAACCATCTAACTTGTCGTCTTGACAAACCTAGTTTATGCATAAAACATACTTTGCAGTAATAGTCCTCCCAAGGCTGGGAGGAAATGAAAGCTGTATTAGGAGTAAATCAGCTACCAACTGTGATCTTGGTTCATGTCAAACACGGTAGAGTCTTGTACAGGATTAAAAAGTAAAATTTCTCTATTTCACAAAATTGGCTTTATTTGAGGAAACAGAGGTAGAGTTGGCTGATCTGTTGTGCTCCTGGAGATTGCAACAGTCTTACTGGAAACAAAAAATCTTTGATTCATCCCCAAGTCAGATATTCAAGATGAAAATATCCTTGTTTTACATTTGTAATGTTCTCAGCCTTCCTGGGAATCCTGTGTCAGTATGCAAGGTGGGTGCCAAGCACATTACCCTCCTCCCCTACTCTGAGTAGCTTTTGCTTTTACATTTAGTTCCCAACTTAATGAGCTAAAAGAAGTAATGAGTTAACATCTTTGTGTTTTGCATAGACTTCTCATTCTCTGGTGTTGCTTAATTATCCAACAGTTGATGTGTAAACACAAACCTGAAGGCATATCCCTGCATCTCAGGATGGTGATGCTATTGCCATTGCATCACAGGGATGCAGTCGGGGGGGTTCAGCATTTGCTTGGCAGCCCAGCTTTTAAGGAGACTGGGCATGTGTCCTCTGCATGTGCATGTCCCATCAATGCCAGGGTGCTTTGGGGAAATGTGCCCTGCGAGGGGTTGGAAACTTCAGCCAGGAATTGCATCCCCTGGAGCATGTGGTTCATTGCAACCAAGTTTTCCTCCACCCTGTGACTCCTACCCCTTCTGAACAATAGATCTCACCAGCCAGATACAATTTGGGATTTTACGCCATATCTCTATGCTGAACATCATGGGTAGATTTTTCCAGGACATTAGCATGGATGCAGGGCACCCCAGCTATTCATCTGCAGTTAAATTTGTGACATCTCTGCTATTGAAAAAGGATCTGATGCAAATATCCTGCTAAAGGCGTTGGCCTGTAAATCTCAGCTTGTGATTCTCTTAATTATGAGACTGAATACTGTTTGATTGCAGAACAAAGAAGTGCCTGAAAGTACGAGCTGATGCTCCCTTGCCTCTTACCAAGACCCTCTCCTCTGAAATCAAAGCAGCCACACACCTAAGACATTAAAGAATACTTTACTCTTTTGTTCTATTATTTTTGAAGGTCTGACATATTGATAAATATACAATTTATCAATATTGATTAATATTGATAAATATATTGGTTTCTTATCTATATCTAAATTTGAAAGCAATCCCGTAGATATTCTCTGAGGGACTGCTTTGTTTAGTGGTTGGCTCGCAACGTCTTGGGGTTGAGGGGGAATCTGCAGTGTCAGCCAAGAGCTTCCCGTAAGCACATTGAAATGTTTTTTCTCTTCTTGTAGGAAGAACTCAAAAGGCTCCAGCACACCTTGGAACAGGTCAATGATGGCAAAGATTTGCTTCAAAGGTAAATGTGCCATTTCCATGATATCTCACACGTGACAAAGTGAAATAGCTTTTATAAGGCAACAAGCCCTTTCTGAGGGACAGTTTCTTGTTGTAGACTGTTTCTCACTTGGTAACATACTAAATATTCAAGATTTTTGCATCTTTCCTATAAATTATTCTTATTTTTAGTTACAGGAGGATAATTTCTGAAAACTGCTGCTGAATTGAAATAAGTGGCCAGTAAAGTCTCAAAATAACTCCACAGGTTGGGGTCTAATCTTACAAACTTTCATGCAAAGACGTTTCATTCATCTTCCTAGTCCCATCCAAAGCAGCATCCTGAGATGTTTGGTTTTTATCTTCTAGCGTTTTCAAATTGCTTCCTCAAAGCAATCAGTTTGCCGCACCAATTCCTGGGTCATCATTTATTGCCAAGAATTTTTTCTTCGTATCCCTGTATGGCTCTTGCTGATGTAATTCATTTGCTACCAGCATTCCCATTGTTCCTTTCCATTTTCCTCTCCAGCTTCTCAAATGTTGCCCCAGGGATGAAAGTTAATTTAGCAAGAACATCTATTTTATTTGCCAGTGGTTTTTTTTTATTTGAAGCGGCTTCTTTGCTGGGCGTGCCTGTCTCTGGAGCTGTGGCATCTGGAAGATTTCGTGTAAGAACTCAGACAGGATCCAATCTGAAAACTGGATCCAAACTGGTACTTTTGATTGCCAGTCAAATGGGGCTGGAGATGGAGACCTGGGTGCCTTCCTCCAAAGACAGTGATACCTTATTATGAGTAGCTCCTCTACGTTCCTGTCAAAATATGAATTAATTGAGAAATTGATCGCAAAAACGTCATGCTGAGACACTTTAAACACATTATTTTTCCTTTTTCATAGCCATCAGCTTGCCATGGATGAAGAAAATAATATTGAAAAATATCCTATCAACTTACAGCCCTTGGAATCAAAAGTGAAAATGTAAGTAAAAAAAATGTTTTTTCTATCTTTAAAAGCAGCTGAGTTTCTCCAATTCCTGAACTGCAGAACGCAGACCGTATCCATTGTGGATTTCCGTGTAACTTTAAGTACAAAAAAGCCTCAGTTTTGCAAGATAGCTAAGTTCTTCTCTAGCTTCATGTGTGAGCATTCTCTTTGAAATGAGTTTTGCATGTTAAACTTTGATGTTGCACAGGTTTTGTCATTCCCTCTGTGAAACTGTGAAATCTGCCAGATTTTCAATATATACAGAGAACACCTTGGTGGGGTGAACTATAGTACAGGGCAAGCAGAATTCTCTTCAGCGGTATTTTTCACATCTAACGTGAAGCTTGGTTAAAGCTCACGGGTCTCCTCTGCAGGGAGCAGTCCTTGGCTTTGCACGGGGTTTGAGGGGACCGGGGTGCCTGGGCGGGGGGTGCAGCACAGCTCTGTGGCTCTAAGGAAACTGTTTTCGTTGGAAAGCGAGGGTGTTGCTAGCACTCAGCCAAGGCACATAGATGACACCTAGCTGCACCACCTGGAAGGAAGAGATAAGCATCACTATGTTCTGGTAATGAACCCCCCAGCTTCCAAAAGCAATTTTAGCCTTTGTAATACATTTTCCACATGTTGTATAGTTTACTGTGGGGTCAGTTATTCTAAAAGGCTTGACTGTGCTGGAATACATGTGGTAGTAGCAGGGATATAACTTAAAACTCACCCACATGCCTATCAGAGCGGTGGACTCTTTGTGCCTGTTCCAGCGTTGTTCCTCCAGCCCTGGTGCAGGCATTCGCTCCATCCAGCTGGAACCAACTCTGCTCTAACACGGTGCCGCTGGACTTCCCAGCAGACAGTGAGAGTTTAATGGGGCTCCACTTGCATCAAAAAATATGAACGTTTTTATGCTGAAGCCCCCAGCTACTTCATGGCATAATTTTGTGACATTGGGCACAGCTTTACACAGAGTTGTATGTGTTGCTACTGAATTTCACTTTCAGCTGAAAAGCTACAGCTAACTCGCTATGCAGGACATTAAAATATTAATGTTATATTAAAATATTAAGAGGACAAGAAGTTTCAAATTAAAATCCAGCCAGCATGTTTTAGTCATGCAAATACAAGCCAGATGAAAGAATAAATTTTTGGAGAGCTTTCTAGAAGGGTAGTTAAGACTTCACCTTGGTATATTCTCAAGCTTTAAGACAGAAAGTACATGTAAATGTAAATATGCAAATACCACTTGTACATATTATGCAGTGAATCTTGAAACTGCAACAATGCAAAGTGTAGATGCTTGAAGTGTGAAGATGTGGGGATTTTTTTTTTTTTTAAAGCAAAATACATTTACTGAGAGTTCCTCTGTTGGCGCTTGTGTTTGGGAACTTTGCTGCCCGTTTTAAAGCTCCCGTATGAGAACAACGCAGGAATTAACCCAACTGGCTAGCTCTACAGTGCCTCTGTTCTGGTGAGACTCTAATGAATGCTGTTTTCTTTCTGACCTGTTGGTATTCTAAAAAAATAACTAAATACACATATACTTGATTTCATCATCCTTGGATGTTCAAAATGCCATGTGTGTAGGAAGCGTTGTTTCCTGACCAGGAAAAACACACAGAGAGGTGCTTCCCACTCTCTGGAGCTCCCAGCACTGTAGACAGTCAATGAGAAGTTGTAGGTGTCCTGGTGTTGACCTTCGTCCTCCTCCTGCAGAGCCAAGAAGGTGCCAATCTGTAATCAAATGCCTTTTCAGCGGTGTCTGGGCACTAAATATTCTTCTGGCTTGTGGAGGTGGAAACAGAAATGGCATCTTAATGGTTAAATAGGCAATGTAAAATAAAAAATTGGTATTCCTAGGACAAAGTCAATCCATGCCAAAGTCTTGGGCCCTTTGTTTCGAGCCATAAAGCACACTGTAAGGTCCCTTCAGGAAGATGCATGGGATTCCATGCTGTCCCGTGGTGCAGGCACAGCTGGCAGGAGCAGGGCTGGGTGGGATTTGGGTGTGGGACCCTTCCCAGGGAGCACCCCAGCAGCAAGGCTGGGTGCTGAGCATGTCAAACCCTTCTGCAGCAGGTAGGGTGGAGGGGTGCCAGCTCCCCCTCCTCACCCCGGCACAGCTGGACACAGCTTTGCTCCACTGAGAACAACTTAAGCGAAGGTCAGGGAAGTCTGCCTGATGAACAGCTGCACTGAAGGTTTTATTGACTTCATATCCCAGTGAATAAAATCCTGATCGCTTAAAATTCCTAAAAAGAGCTCATTGCACTGCAGCAACACTGCTGAGTCTCTGCTCAGAATTTAGCTCCGCTTTTCTGTAGAGGTCACAGATTATCCTGTGTGCAAACAGCCACGTGCTTTGTGTTAATGCCACCGCTATTGTAAACGCAGTTTTAATTCCCAGCATCTCTCCCTGCCACCTTCGAAAAGGCAGAGGCGGTCCGGCACTGCCACCTGGTGAGAGCCCCCCTGGCCTCCAGCTCCCTGGGCACCCACCAGCACAGTCAGCAGAACAAAATTTTACATCAGATTGTAGAAATTTGGTCAGAGTTTAGGGTTTGGAAGCAGAGCTCCTACTGCAATCCTTACACGTTGTTTTGGAGCAGTGTTTAGGTCCCCAGTTACCCAGGGTGGAGGAGATTTTAAAGGATACTGGTCTGGCTCTGAACTTCCAACCACATGTAGGTTATCCACATAAGGTTTTGAGGGCTGTTCATTTTTTTAAACAGATAATTGTAATTTTTATTCTTTGTTTGCAAGACATAAGAGAATTGCTGAGTTACGTACAGTCTCAAATTTAAATCACTAAGTTTTAAGGATCTGATTTAAAGAATTGCTTCAAGGTAACAGATATCTCAAGTTATTCTAGTTGTGGACGAGACCTACAGAGCGTAGTTATGTGTGATCGTTATCCAGACGAGAAAACAAAGCACACAAAAAAAATAGAAAACCACCAAATCCCACCTCTTCATCTGAGAATATACATTTTAAATACTTTCTGTTGCTGCAACCCCCCAACACTGTGCCTTGGTGTTCGCCGCAGCATCCAGCGAGCATGGCGTGAGTACCAGCAGCGCCAGGACCTGCTGCCCCACGAGCAGCTGGAGAAGCGCAGTCCCTCCCCGCCGTCCCTCTCCTCGGACAAGATGAGCAGGTCCATCAGCATGAACACCTTTTCCGACAGCAGCACACCCGTGAGTATGGCGATCGGGCCCATTTGCCTTCTTACCGCTTTTTGTTGGGTGCCTTTCTAGGATTTCGGATAAATGAAAGATAAATTATGGGCTAATGATTAAAGAAGGACTTTTAGGGGAGTAGTGGTGTTGCAAAGGAACCTGCAAGCAGCTGTGCTTCTTGTAGGTAGAGTTGAACGTGTGACTGTGCATGTTGGACCTGGATGTCAGCAAGTAATAACAGTGCTCTTGATGGGAAGAGGTGTTTCCAAAAGGTGTTGTGTTCTCCTGCAGAAAGCAGAGATCTTCATGTGTGTTTAGCACTCTGTGTTCTCAAAAAAAAAAAAAAGGTGGTGATTTTCCTACAAATAAATGTGGTTTGTAGGGTATTTTGGTTTGGGTTTTTTTTTTTTTGTTTTGGTTTTTTTTCCCCCTCCTAAAAGAGAAGTTGATCTAGGGATTAAAAATGAAAGTTGAATTCTTGGAATAAATATTCATGCCACCCTGCAGACTGAGTGGCTGGAGGCTGTGGTTCTCTTTCTAAAGTGACTCTAAGCTGGAAAGCCAAACATAGAGCCCTTTTTTCTTTTTGGTGTTTTTTTTTGAAAACATGGCTTTGTGACTGTCTCTGGAGTGGGGTCTTTTAGGTCAATAAACCAGCAGATAGATACAGGGCCTCTAAATATTACTTTCATCTTTGTGACGGAATACATCAGTTTTGAGGAAACTGTAGACTAGAGCGTATGAAATAATTCAATAGTTTAAAAAAGAACCAACACGAGAGGTAGAAGCTGCAACAGCGTGTGTCGGTCCAGCTAAATAAAAGCAGGATGTGTCCCACTGTTTGAAGTGTGTGGGATGGGAGGGAACAGGTCAGATCCTTGCTAGTAGCGTGTGTTGGTCAGCTATGTGAAGCTTTATTGCCAGTCACAGGACAGCACTTGGTGGCTTCAGGTTTCACTACAAAAATCTAGAAATCATTGCTAGTGGGGTTCTTAAAGTGGATGGAGCCTCTGTGTAAGGACGTGACGTTTGTGAGTTTAACTCTGCCTTCAACTGCACAGCTGGGGCAACGCGCGAGGCAGGCTCACAGGTCCCACGTAGCTTCTCTGAGCTGAGAACTCTCGTCTTGGACTTACAGGGACAATCTGACTCTTCCCTCCATTGAACCAGGTTCAGTCTGGAGCTAGGTGAGCTGTTTCTAGTACCTGCTATTTTTGTGACACTGTGGTTAGGTGGGCTGCATTAGATTTGACAGCATTTAGTAAAATATTACTGAGAGCGCACTGTTCTATTTTTAGATGCCTTGTGTTCATAGCTGGAGACTGGGATGATAAACTGGGTTGCAATATTGAGTTATACACTAATGTATCATGTATTAAACGAGTTGGGTTCCTCTAATGAGAGAAAAATTTGGATATAAATTTTTCATCCGCCTGCTGGACGGGAGCGCTGAGCTGGCTGCCACAAGAGGCCCCTCGTACCCCACGCAGGGAGGCTCCTGCCTGCTCTCAGGTTCTCCATCAGCAGCCTGGTTCGGAAACGATGCCTTTTCAGTGCTTTTGGAGTAAACTGAGTATGTCTGGAAGTTATATATTTGTGGGAAAATGAAGCTTGGACACCAGAATTGCTGCTTGTTTGTATTAATGCAGCACCCATGCATCTCTCCTCTGCATCCTATTTGTTTAATGCAAAGGAAGATGGGAATGTTTTCTTAGACTTCTCTAGTGCAAAGCCTGTCAATGACCTTTGAAAAAACAGGGAACGTTTCTGAAGACAAAGGTACTCCTATCTCCTTAGTGTGACCTTGGCACAAACTGGAACGCAGGAAGTTGTGTCTTAACATGAGGGAAAAACTTCTTTGCTTTGAGGGTGCCAGAGCACTGGAACCGGTTGCCCAGAGGGGTTCTGGAGTCTCCTTCTCTGGAAATATCCAGAACTGTCAGGTTCATGGCAAGGATGAGGCCAGAAAAAAACGTGGACAATCAACCTTGAAGTGTTGATATGTGGATGAGAGAGTAATTGATTGTCTTGACTAAAGACTTGGGCAGAGTTAAGTGCAGTGTTTTGACTTCTGCTGTAGTATTAGGTAAATTAAATGTAGGAGAAAAAAAACCATATGAGAGCAGAGAAACTGCTGTGGGACCCATCTGTAATTTTACACCCTCATGAAGTTTTATGTTTATAAGACCCAAGCTGGAAGCAAGGGAGTGGAGTTGGAGAATAACCAAGCAGTTAAACACAGCCATTTGCCAAGTCGCTGATTTGGACCATGGCCCACAAGAACTTTGAAAAATGGGACACATTCATTATAACACCATTTCTTTTACATTAGCAGTGTTTCTGGTGCCCTAACAAATATGTCTGTTGCTAGACTTTGCGTAAAAGAGTCTCCCAGATTTCTTTTGCTGTCTGGCAGTTGTCCTCTGAAATATTTGTAGGAAGGAGAAAGACTGAAATTTGGACTCTTTGAAGGTTTTCCTGTTTCTTTTTCAAAGAGGTAGAAAGCAACTAGCATGTCAAAATATGTTAGCAATAAGCCCTGATGCAGATGGGAAAGAGAAATTTATAGAGTATTTTGAGAAACCACTGTCACAACACAGCCACTTAATTCAGCTGAAACCTAATCCTGGTTTTCAATTTCCTTTCTCAGCATGAGCCTCACAGTGTTCAGCTTTGCTGGATCCTCAGCTGGATCTTACACACTCCTGTGGGCAAAAATATAGTTAGCTACTTGAATAATGAAAAGATCTCATGCCCAAAAAGTAAATGAGATCCTGTGGGTAACAAATGGCTGCCATTGCAGCAGGATGGACATTGAAATGGTGTACGCTGAGTATCTGCTTACACCAGTACGTGGGAGCAGCAGTTGTGGTGAAATAGAATTTTGAAACTCTTCATTGGATGAATAACACCTAAAGCCAAGGTTTATTCAGGCTGTTGGAGGACAACAGAGAGTGTCAACGTGTGCAGGTCTGCAGCTGGAGAGTGAGGAATAGCATTTGATCGTTTCTAGCTGAAGGAGAAGGTTTTTGATCTCATTTCCACTATTACTACAAACTTCCCAAAGGATTTATGAGGGAAGATGGGGGAGTTAGAGCTGAGGAAAGTGCAAAGTTTCAAAAGCATTTTTCCTGTCTTTCCCTTGAAACTTTTCTATTCTTAAATACTAAGACAAAATGTGTAAAGGGGAAGTAGAAAAAGTCATTAAACCCATAGGAAACTGAAATCCAGTGGAAAATCCTGTACGTTCAAAGTAAAAAATGTTCAGAATCAAAGGTGGGGCCTTTTGTCCGCACCTGTACAGCTTGTGCGCAGGGTGGAGGGCAGGGCAGCAGCACAAGCAATAACCTTGGGAGAACGTAGCAGTGAGGGCCTGAGCCCTGTTAGATGTAGCGCGTGGGAGCTGTGTATTTCTGATATGCAGACACTTACTCATTTGTAACCATTAAAACTTTACAAATTCATCAAATTAGGACCTTTTCTTGTTGTCCAAGCCAAGAAAATACAGAAACACAAAGCAGCAATTTTAGAGTAACTTTAAAGAAGTGAGGAGAAGGAACAGTTCTTACTCCACTCAGCAGCAGCAGGGTTGCTTTCTGGTCAGCTCTACCACAACTTTCATGGTTAGCAGTCTTCATATGACTTTTTAAAAGCCATTTGGTTCTCACGAGATGGGTTTAGCTGGGCAAATGGGCTTTGCTTCTGGCCAGTGTGAGATGTCGGCCGTATAATCAATTAGTTCATCACTGGTTTGTTGATCAAAGGTGGTGTGAGTTCTTGACTTGCTGAAGATCATGTCTTTTATGTATTTGGCTTCAAAAAGCTGTAGCTTGGCCCTGCTGGCTGTGGTTACCGTATTTCAGTTCAGAGAGACAACCTAATTGTGTGATTCTAAGACTCAGAAGCTTGATAAATCATTAATTATGATACCTTTGAATCAAGTGTTTGAACTTGTTTTGCATCAGCTAGCTGTCTTCATGACTAAAGAAAACTGTTGCTCTCGAAATACTAATGAGAAACTTGTCAAATGGAAAAGGAACTACTAGATTAAGGGGAAAAAAAAACCCCACAATTGAAACAATTCCTTATTTTTGCTGCTACCTCCAGGTCTTGATAATTTCCAGCACCTCTCCTGTGTGAAGTTTTGTCTTAATTTTATGGCAGAGGAACACTGTCTTCTGGAATGTGAGACACTGAATCCTTGTGGGTACTAAAAGGATAAGATTTTTTCAGGCTTTGCTTATATGCTTCTTGCCCTTGAAGCCTGAGCCTCTCCTCTCTAGACCATTTCATGACAGTTGTGCATGTCCTTTTGTTAGCTGGCGCAAAGGTACCAGGTGGTAAACAAGGTCACAATTGGTTTGTTTTGACTTGGTCCCACCTTTGTCTTCCTCCTTCTGCCTCAAGGGTTGGTCAGAATGGCAACTGAGGAAGATGGATAATCTGATTCAAACTTGTGATTGATCATAAGTAATTTGAATGCTTTTAGGTAGTTGGAAATCAGCTGCTCTGTTACTAAACATTCAAAATAAACATATTTGCAGACAACATAGTTTAAGAAAAACAGATTAGTAAGCCTTTTCTGGAATGAAGTGACTGAAATAGCAAGATGAATGATTACTGTTCTGGAAAATTACTTAAGGAGTAACATATGCATCTCTTGGAAAAGTTTTCTGGTTTTTAGGCATACTTTTATGCTTAATAAAGTGCACTCAGTTTGATCTGAATATTTGTCACTGAAAATACTCTTCTCTGAGATTCACGTCCAATCAACATGGATTTCTGTTAAAACAGCCATGACTCTGAGACATAATACAAGGCACAGAATAAAATAGGCCACAATGAAAAGCAATAAAAATTCCCTATCCCATATGTAGAAGGAAGGAATAAAGCAGTGTACGAAGCAAACAATCTCACAACCAGACAGAACAATACTAACCCCAAAGTATTATATACATTGTAGAGTTGATGAAGTCCAGGATTTCACTTTTTAGTATTTTGAAGGTAAATTTAGGAGGATAA